GCGTGGAGGCAAAGTACCTCCTGAGCGGAAGCGTTTTGTGTTCTCCTGGGGAGTCAGGCATGACTGCTGCTGACTGCAGCCCTGCTGTCGCCTTTCCTGACAAGCCTCCCGGGTCTGAATTTCCCGAGAATTGGGCGCTTCGGCACGGCTCTGTTTTTGTCTCCCTGAGGGAACTGGGCCTTGGTATCTTGGCGCTGAGGGAACCAGCGCTGCCGTGGTGCGGGATGGACAAACTGCTGAGGCACTTAACACCCACCCCGAATCTCTCTGCCCCCGCTGGAGTCTTGGCCTCCCGCCCTTTAACCCCAGGGAAGTCAGCCATGCCCACTACTCAAGAAAGAATAACTCACCGGATTCATTAATTAGATTTTTTTATTTATTTTTGTACTGCAGTTCAAGGCGATTCCTGGCACAGGTTATACAATTGGTGCAGCTCGCACGTAACACGCCGTAGCATCCTCTGAGGACAGTAATGAACTCGCGTTCCCCCCCCCCCCCGATACCAAAGAGCAAATACAATCTGTACACCTGCCTTTCATGAAAGACTTCGATAAAGATTTCTTATAAAATCGACAACGCGGCCGTAACTCTCTTTCCTATAAGGATAAAAACGTGAGCTTTTGCCTTTATAAGAGGCACACATATCCTGAACCTCACAAGCAGTACTCTGGCTTTGTGAGCAAGACATCCTGAGGAATTTCCTCTACGTGGGTTGAGTTATGGTTTAACCATTTTCAGAGCATGCTCAGTACAGTCTACAAATATTGTAGAACGCGTTGAGGCACCCACAGGCAAGCTAGGCTTTCAGACGTGTCCGGATAGACTAGCTGGCCGGCTTGAGGCACCGTGGGCGCCTGTCGCTATGGCTGGGCAGCACGGGTGTGGGTAGCTTGGAGTCCCAAGTGGGGCAGGACAGAGCAAAGGGCTCCTCCTGAGCGGACACTTTTGAAAGTGCCTGCCTGAACGTCTTAGAAGTTACTGCTTTCTCAGTAGACGTACGCGTGCAACCTCACCGAGGCTAAGAACAGTCGGCGTTCCTCCCTGAACAACTCTCAGTCCCCCGAGCAGGAGGGTTACATCTCACATTCTTTTAGAATAACTTTCTCTCCACGTGGTGGGATGGTTTCAGTCCTTCTGGAAGAAGGGAAGCAGGCATCCAAGCATAGCAATGCTCTGCAAAAGGAAAACGTTCTTCCCTAATCCTGCGAGGAGCAGGGGGACTTGTATAGCAAGTCACGGTCTCCTCTGGAATACGAGGAAATGTCCGGGAACACATAAGCGCAGTCTTGGGCTACCAGGGCCTCCAGAGGCTGGAGGAAGGTTTCAGTGCTGCTTGTTTTGCCGGGGGCCGGTGGGTGGAAGCGGGTGCAGAAGAACCAGAGTCCTTGGGCACGGCTTGTGACCTCTGGAAATGGCAGATTAGCTTCATCCGGGTTTCTGTGTTTGCTGAATGGAGAGACAGGAATTGCAGCGCTTCCTTGAGGCACCAGGCATACCCTTCGCAATAATCCTGCTGCAGGCTTTTGGCAGATGCTGCGAAAGCTGAAAAGGCAGGAGAGAAGTGTTACGCAGGGAGACTCAGGCTGGAGTTTTGCCGAAAAGCAAGGGCAGCGAGCGCAAGGAGGGGATGTGCTCACCTCGGCTGTATTTCAGGTAGCTGACGGTCATCTCCAGGATGTCGGCTTTCTCCAGCTTGGAGTTGGGCTGGTGTCTCTGGAACTCCTTCTCCAGGAGCAGTTTCAGCTGCTCGATGCTGCTGTTAATCCGATCACGACGCAATTTTTCTACAATGGGTTTCCTGAGCTGTAACAGAAAAAGGGAAGAGGACAGTTAGCGGTGAGACTTTCCCCTTGCCGTCTTTAACCTGCTGCTGAAGGCGTTCAGCCCTTCTCAGCTCTTTGCCCTTGACAGGGAGAGAGCAGCTACTTACTCTGTTCTTCTCTTTGGGCGTTAGGATTTCCAGGGAGAGCGCACTGGGTGCCATTATCCCAAGTGCTGGTTTCAGCTGGCTGCTTGCGGGTGGAGAAGGGAGCTGGGAGTCCCTCTATTTATACGCAGCGGCTGCATACAAATGTATGGGTCCTAAGCCACTTCGAGTTTCCCACAGTCCATGGCCAATCCATTCGTGCCCTGGGACAATAGAGGAAGCATCTATTACAGCATGGCAAATTGACTGTGAATTGCCTGGGGATAATACCCTGCTCCCAAAGGAGCAGGTGGACTGGGGAGTGTGTGACACAATAGGGCTTGGCATTACCACGCTGGGGTAAGAACGTGGGAAAGCGTTTGCCGTCATTATAATCAAACTTCTGCCTGATGTTTGGAACGTCAGCGTCTCAATGTGCTGCCTTTTCCCAGGCTGTGGTGAAATTAAGCGCAGAAGGCTGATCCCAGGAAGAGATAATGCTCTGTGCCCATGACCAAAAAAGAGGTTGAAAAGGAAAAGATGCAGAATTAGAGGGACTAAACCCTTTCATTGACATTAAACCGTGCTTAGATGAATACAGTACCAGATAATTTTGGGGTAACTAGAAACTAAAATCGAGGGAAGCAGTTGGCTTGAAATATTTTCTTCTTCGTTGTTCAGACAGAGTCGCTCTGTAAGTTATATTCAGAGCTCTTCCTTGCTTTTGTTTGGGTAATCTGGGTGTCCCTACGGCAGCCCCGTGACATGTAACAATTATGATGCCTTTCTCAAACTTGTCCTATTTAATTTCATGCCACTTTGCAAATGCCTCGCTGTTCCTTTGGTCCTGAGTCTCCATGTAAAGCACCTAAATATACTTTACAGGCAGCTGAAATGCTGTGAAAAGTCAATTTGTGTATACTACTTTGCTTGTGTTATCCCACTTGCAGGATGTAGACAGAGGTGCTAGGATAGCCTTGTGCCTCTGTTCAGTCCTGGGCTTTCTCAGTACGTGTGCCACGTGTACTGCGATGAACACAGGTAACAGAGTGGAAAGGACCAGGATTATCCAGGATTAAAGCTGCTTTGTGGATATTTGGTTTTTTGGGCTACTCCAGGTTGCCCGCTCAGGTCTGCTGCCCACCCCAGCACAATCCAATACAAAGCCAGTCACGTTTAAGATCCCCCAGTCAGGCATGTGAGGCCTCGTATTGGCAAATACCAAGTTGTGCTTTCTGGTACATCTGTTTCAGCTGTAATATGTGGAGCTCTACGGGTTTAAGGAGAGCTGTGCATGGCCACAGTTATTTTTCCTTAACATGTGTTCCCTGGTCAGAGGCTAGAACAGGGAATAAGCCTCGATTGTCGCTAACAGGCAGGCTGAGGATGTTAGTTTCCGAATACCTGTTTCTTACTACAGCCATATTCATGAAAACCCTACCTATTTGCTGTGTCTGCCTTTCAAAACTGGAAAAGAAACCTTTAATTTCACTGTGAACTGTGGTCAGCCTGTTTCACCTGCCCTCAGCACCCCTCTCAATAAGCCAGGGCCAAACCCTGTGTCCCTGGGTACCTAGAGAGTACCGGGTTCCAGCACACACAGTGTTGTTGCATAAAAGGATATGATCCTGCCACTAGTTATTAACCCGGAGCTTACAAAGCCCCTTTGAACTGCCAGGCCTCTCATGGCAGTGACTTTCATAGGTCAGCCATCCTCCCCTCCTCCCTTTCCAGCCCAAAGACGTTTTACATTTAGGTGGGTCACTTAGGGCTTTGACAGCCATCAATGATTAAAATTGTTACACCCTATAATTGAGCGGGGAGTGTGAGTCCTATTCAGCAATCAGTTGCCTGAATTATTTTGTCAACTTGTCATCAGCAGTATTACTTGCAGCCAAGGGCAATCCCTGGCTGCATGTTCTTGGGCCGTTATCGGAGCCTCAAGTCCAGCACAGGGCTCTGTGCGTCTCTCTCGGGGGTCACCTGGGATGGAAGGGACAGCAGGTCCTGCCACACACCGTATGGGAGGCAACGTGTTTGCAGCACCAGCGGGCTGGGAGGGAAGCTTTGACCCAATTTCCAGCTCTGGAAATATGAAATGAGTGGGTTTTAAATAATGCCATCCTATCCCCAGCACAATGCCCCTGGACTCCAGAGGGCTAAACCAACTCCCACTGATTAAAGCATTATTCCTCCCTGGAAGTGCTGGGCAGATGGTGCAGCAGGCGTTGGCTTTCTTGCGGGGACCCACAGAGGCACACTTCTTTTGTTGGCAGTTTAACACTGTCAATGGGGCAACGTGGGAAACCCCTGGAACGGCGGGCTCGCACCATCTGATGTGAATGGTGAACCAGGCGCGCTGCCTGGCAGCCAGCACGCAGAACAACGGCCCTCCGGGCTCGCACAGCTCCCAGCTTCTCTCCCCCTCCCTCCGGCTGTTGAAAAGACAGCAAATCTTAAATTACCCCCGCCTGCTTCACCTACCCTCTGTATGCTGCTGGTGGGTAAAAGAAACAAATAGCTCCCCCTCACCCTGTTCGGGTTGATTATTAAGGCCTGAAAACTTAATGGCAGTGGTGTCTCCCAGCTCGTGCTGCAGAATTGTCTAGACTAAGGCTGTCCCTGGAATATATTTCTTGTGGAACTGGGTGCGGCGTGCACTTTCTGCACGGATTTCGGTGAGGACAGACGAATCCTGTGCTGTAGGCACTGCGGTTGCGCTTTGTTAAAAGTCTGTAACTAGTTTGCTCGGTTTGGGCTCTTTTAAAATTCAGCGATAGCTGAATTTAAAAATTCTTTTAAAATTTAGTGTGGTAGCCTGTCCCACTGAAACACGCTTGTGACCCAAATCCTTGTCACTGTCCTTCATGTCCGTGGGAGGGGTTTGTGCCTCTCCCTGAGAGCCGGCATGGACGATTGGTTGTCTGAGGCTCAGAAGCAGGGCTTTGCCTGGTTTAGGAATGAAGGATTTGAAAGAAACAAATCCCTAAAATTGCCAAACGTCTGGAGTTGGCTAAACACTGTGACACAACGATTATCTTCTTTGGGAGATGGTGTGAAATCTGGACCCGCTCTCGAGAGGCGACAGGTACACGGTGGGCAAAGAGGCTCGTGTTCTTAGTGGCCTCGTTCCTCTGAATCATCAGCTTGTTATGAAGATGCACTTTTCAAAATAACACATGAAAACAGGGAGGTGTCTGGAGTGGTGTAGGTATCCAAGAGCATAAACCTGGAAACAATTGTCTGTATCTGTACTTGCACATCAGGCAGGAGTCCTGGCCTTTTCCGAAGGCAAGAACGCTGTACCACGTTAATTGTCTCCAACTGTAGATACTCACCATCAGACCCCAAGCTATGGGGTGCAGTCTGCGCACTGTCGAGGATTTGGGACACAGAGGTAACCAGCCAACCCCAGAGCTATCATCAGTGGGCTTGCGTTCATTATAGCCCATAAATCAAACCGGCTGGAGGATTGCTAGCCTAGGAGAGCGGTGCTGGGCCATGGATCTTTCTGCTTCTGGTTTGTAGGTGGTGATTTCAGCCCAGGTGCAGACTTACTATACACACAGCTTTCACGAAAGCTGCTGCTCGTGAGGCCAGTTGGCAGCTTTCTCGGCCCATCTGACACGTAGCTTTCCGTGGAGGGGAGCCCAGTGCGTTGTGCCGGAGCAACAGGTCTGGGGGAAGGTGAACTATCAGAGGGGAGTACAGAAGAACAAAAATTCATTGCCTATGTTATGCAGATTTAAAAAGCAGCGCTCCTGTACATCTGGGACTGTGCTTATAGCTCACAACTTGGTGGTTTAAGCCTCCCTTTCCATATGATTTTGAGGGCATTTTTATTTTAGACCACTTCCTACCTTCATGTCAGCCTGTCTCACAAACGCTATTGAGGGTGTTTTTAAAGAAATAATTACGATTTTTACTTTTTCTGTGCCTTCCTTAAATGGTTTAAAATCTTTCTGACAACCCCTCTTGAGGCACCTATTTAGTGTCAAAGAGCATAACGTTCCCAAGTTTTAAAAGGGCTCTCGCATAATACTGATCGATCAATGTGCTCCTTGGGAAAATAGCTCTCCAGATGGTCTATCGGGACAGGAATTGCTGGTCATCACAATGCAGAGCCAAAAAGCGTCACTAATGTGGGCTGTTGTGAGGCACGCTTCCTTTGTGGTCCCTTTGAATGTCATAAATGGGGAAGAAAGTGTGGGAAACTCTGAGAAACTCAGGCCCACACTCTGAGGTTAATAGGGGCTTTGTCAGGAGAGTATTCCTGGGCTGTGGGATCAGCATAATAAACAACATCTTCCCTAAGGGCGGGAATGTGTTGGAGCAGGGGAGGGTCACCCCAGGGGACAGAGAGGCAGTAAGAAGCTTTGCGTTCAATTATTATAAGTGATAATAATTAATAAATTGTAAACATAACCTTTGCTGTGCTGAGACCGGTGAAACCGGAGGTCTGGCCTTTAGCTCTGCGGTAACTGGTAAATGAAAGCCCAGAGGGGCAAGTCTCTGGCTGGCAAAAACCAGAAGGGTGTGCTTGCACCAGCCGTGGATCTGACTCCCTGGAGCGAATGGAGGCTGTCTGGTGGGATTGAAGACTCGGATCTGAGAGTCTCCCGTTTGTGCAGCTCTTCTTTGGTTTCCTGCTCTCTGTCCCATTTATGCTGTCGGTTTTAACCTGCAGTGACTCTGCCAACAGACGTTCGCAACGGGGTTTACTCGGGCAGGACTGTGGTAGCTGGGGAAGATGCCCACCCGCGTAACAACAGCAGTCCTCTCCATGCCCTGTGTGACTGTTCCCAGTCCCCGTGGTGTGCAGTCAGGTTGTGGTGTGCTTTGGGGCATTTTGACTGCGTCTGAACTCCCCCAAACTTCATAGCCACAAACTGCCTCGATTAGGCTTGATTTCGAAATGCAGAGGCCTGGATGAACAGCCTGAGTTTTGCTGGGATTCAGAAGCTTGCACTAATTGACAAGGAGTTGAGTAAGGTGAAGCGGCTTTTTCAAGATCGCTAAGCAACCACAAAATCTGAAAATATCTCTTCTGAATTATTTAGGAGCTCATTAGGAAGAACAAATCTGTCCGCAGCTCCTGATGAAGGGCAGAACTGTTACCAAAACCCCACCTTGTGTTGCATGGGCGGGCAGATGAAGAGCAACCAGCTCGTGCATTCAGGGCACGGTAGTAGCCAGGCTGACCCGTGCAGCATTAATGAGGCCGAGCGATGGGTTCTTGACCCGGCTACCTGGCTTTAGGTCTGCTCCTTACGCGTAACAGAGGGTTTCGCCCCAAATCAGGCGAGGCCTGATTAGTGCCTGACTAACCAGCTGCTGGACAAGGGCGGATACGCCAGGTTTCTTTTTATAAGGAAAGCGGCATATGCCAGAAACAAAGTTTTTCCAGGGCATCTCTCCCTGGGAGAGAGTTGAAAATGTTGACCCCCAGTGTTTCGTGCTGTTACTGTATCTCAGGAGGAATGAGAGAGTTCCCTGCCAGGTGCCCAAATCGATGTGTTACTGTGGTGGGGAAATCGTTTTGTGAACTAATTGTGCAGGTTTATTTGACTTTGAGGAGAAGGGAAAACACAAGGGGAATAGTCCCACTGAGCAATGGGTGGGAACTCTTGAACGGAAAGTGAATGTTCCTGGAGAGGGCGGTGCGTTTTGGAGACTCTTGGGATTTAAGGTGCTCAAGGGTGCCTTGAGGATCCCCTTCTTGTGCTTTTCTTCCTGCTTCCCTAAATACCTTCTGAATCCCTTTTTGCTTATTCACCTCATCCATTCCCTCTTTGCGTAGCTGTGTGGGAGGACAAGCACGCCCTTTACATCAAGGGCTAACCTTGCTCACATCACCAGAGGGCAGCTGACTTAATCCTCAGGGGACAGGGATGGTGTGGCCTGCACATGGAGAATTGCAGAAGAGATTAGCGGGGCTGGAGCTGAGGCTGCGCCCGGATGCTACAGTCCCTCTCTCTGCAACTCCCGGGAAGCCCGGGCTGCTTGGCTTGGGTCACCCAGCTGGTGCAAGCCGGGGAGACAGGCTGTTGTAAATCTCTGTGCAAGAGGATATGCTAGATGGGTTTTCTAAATTGAGGTGGGGTGATAAAAAATCAAGGGAGGATCATCTAAAAGTTACTTGGCAGAGAGACTGTCTCTGCAACAGGTTGGATAGGAAAAAACCCCTCAAAAGTCGGGTGGAGTGTGGCAGTTCCTCAACTCTGAACCACTGGCCCTATTCTTGGTGTGTTCTGGACCCTTAGGTGGATCCCAGAGAAAGAGAATAAACTCTTTGGAGGAAAGAAGAGTACAGGGGATTAATTTAGGAGAGGAAATGCTTTTTCAGTCTCTTTGTTATCAAATTATGTATACTTTTAGCCACATACAGGCAGGTTTCACTTCAGTAAAGAACGCAATTCTGTTACTGCCTAACAGAATTCATGTTTAGGTAACAGAAAGTGCTAACATTAAAAGACAACAAAAACTAGTTCACCCTGTTGCAGGTAGTTCCAAAGAGGAGGGTGAGATCCCCAGGCAGAGTCAGGTGCCGAGCTCTGTGGAAGTTATTAGGAGTTTTGCATGTTGTTTCCTTCTAAGCGGACAGAAGTTGTGAGTCTGAACTCGGGTTGGTGGGCAGATTAATGGGAAGAAATAAACTGGCTGTGAAATTAGGGGTTTGCTGAAGTCTGACTAGTTTGCCGTTAAGTATCTGGGCCTGCACCTCTCAGCGTCTCGCTTCCATTCCACCTCCGTGATAATTTTTGATCACTTCTCCAAAGGTTACTTCCATGCAGGATCTGAAATCCTGTTCTGCCAAATGAATTTCACAAATAGGAACGATACTGGGATGAAGGGCTCGGGAATATGACATCTGATAGCTTCCCCACTGCACGCAACAGAGGAGGAGCATTAGCCACCGCGACCATTTCAGAGCAAAGGATTAATGGCTAAAACCGTTTTTATTGTATTGTACAGTGAAGACAGCCAAGTGAACATCACACAGGATGAATACATCACAACTTTATAAAAGCTTTTTAAGCTCTTTAGCGTGTTCAGGGAATGATTATGAAGTACTTATTGCCTCCCTTCCTCCCCCTTTTCCTTAAGGTATGTATCCCAGGTATTTCCTTTACAAAAGGCATCAATTACCCCTCCACTGAGAGTAGCACACACTGACACCAAGAGAATTTTCCCTGGAGCTATCTCTCATCATCGTGATCTGTAAGAAGGTTTACAAAGAATAGCATAGGAACTTCAGAAGAATCAGCATTTCTTGATAACATCTTTCACTCAAAAGGTAAAGACTCAATATTCTCTTTATGATACAAAATACATTCTTCAAAGCGCTCCTTCCTTAGGACTCATCTGGAGGCAATGGAGCCCCTGAACCAGTGACCCAGGGAGGTAGAAAGACTTCCACAGGCTCAACAGCCTTGCCAAGCGAAAGTGTGATGGAAACCAAGGGCGTTTGGCTCTCCAAATCACCCCAGAACTCGGTCCTCTCTGGCTAGGAGCCACCAACAAAAGCAGCAAATTTGCTGCAAGATACAGACTCGTTCCTTCACTATGAAGGGAAACCACCCAGCGACCCTCATTTCTTGTGACAGAAAAACAATAACCGCCCCCCTCCCACCTTTGGAAAGCAATGTTTCCTACTTCAAAGAGGGACTATTACAACCACAGGTCCCTCTAGTTTCTGTAGCAAAACACAAGGATAAAGCAAAGTTCAGCAGAGGGCCGCCCAGGGCCTCCAGAGGGGGGGAGCAGCAGCCGCAGTCTTCTGGGCGGGTTGCTTTCTGGCAAGCAGGCAGGGTGACAGAGGTGGGCTGCGCAGCATGGGCGAGTACATGACACCTGCACCCACCTGAGCTTTGCAGAAATGCTTGATCAGCTGTACCTGAGTTTCCTTCTTGGGTTCATAGTAGGACAGAAAATGCATGGCTTCCTTGAGGCACCGCAGGTATCCGCTGTTAAAGTCCTGCTCCAGGCTCTTGTGAAGGAATGCTAAGAAAGAAAGAAAGAAACGAATGCAGCAGGTTAAGATCATGACCAAAACATGGGACAGTGCTGTGATTCGTGCGTTAAGTTTATTTCAAAAGCCTGAGTCCGGCAGCCTTGCCCGTGCGACTGGACTTGCTGTGTTACAGCCCTTGCCTGCTTGCTGCAGGGCTGCAGGGAGGGCAGAGGCCTGTGGCAGGAGACTCGGGATTTGCAACACACGCTGTGCACTCACTTGGGTCTCGCAGCTGGCTCTGCTGCTTCAGGTAGGTCATCTCCAGGCCAGGATGTCTCTCCAGCTTGGAGTTGGGCTGGTGTCTCTGGAACTCCTTCTCCAGGAGCAGTTTCAGCTGCTCGATGCTGCTGTTAATCCGGTCGCGGAGCCTCTTTTCCACCACCACCGGCTTCCTCAGCTGTAAGGGAGACGGAGCAGGTCGTTAAGGATTTTCTGCGACCTGACTAATTTCCCCTCCCGATGCCCTGATACACGTGTTCAAAGACGTTGAGAGCTTAGCGATGCTGCCTACCTCTTCTCTGCTCAATTTCCTTTTAAAAATCTGCGGTGTCCTTTATCTCTCTCGCACCTATCTGCCTTCCCCCACACCCCTTCCTCCCTCCGTATGTCATCTTTCCCAGGTAGTATTCATTTGATTCATAGAGTGCACACCAGCCATTCCAATCCTGTCAAGAGCTCCACTTACTTTATTCTTTTCTTTCGGCAGCAGCTTCTCCTCCACGTGGATCATGAGAGTGTTACTGGGAGCCATTCTGAGCGCTCTCAGCCCTGGGCACAGGTCCCCACGTCAGGCTGCTGCGCTGAGCGTTCCGTGCCTCCGCAGCTACCGACTGCCTGTATTTATACCTCGGGGAGCCCCGGCAGCCCTGTGAGCCTGGGCGCTGGTGGTGTTTCCCACAGCCGTCCAGCCAATCCAGGCACGCAGCCGAACAATAGAGGAAGCATCTATTAGTGCATGGTACGTTGGTTGCAAATGCCCCGGAGAGAATAACCTTCTGCCCACGCTGACGGGTGGAGTGTGCAGCCATGGCTCTTCAGGGCTGCCCAGGGAGCTGGGAAAACACTGACCCTCCAGCTGGTCGCTGGGCTCAGTTGTATTCCTCAGGCCCTGCTTGTGCCAGTCGCTTTTGTGGCGTGGAGAAGGCACACTTTTGGGGGAAGGAGAAGGGGAGCACTGTTAGGGTCAAAATGAACAGCACCAAGGCCATGTCTCTGCTCTTTCCAGAGAGGGCACTTTACGCCCGTCTCCCAGGTGCCGTTTGTCAGTGCGGGTGTATTTGTGCTTGTCCGTACAGTCATTACACCTTTAATGGGTGAGCCTGGTGTGAAACGACAGGTTGGCCTGCATGATGTTTCTAAACGCTGTGGAGAACCCACACGCAGGATGGTGGGATGTTCGAAGGACAGGGTGAATAAGTAGGGAATGGGAAGCCAGTGGAAATGGTAATCCCTGTTTGTCACTTCACACACTGAGGTCTTTGAGCCCGTTGCACCAGTGTTGCACTGCCGACGTGAAGGACAGCCACACACCTCCCAGCAGAGCTGGGCCCGTGCCTACTCATCCCTGAAGCTCTTTCCTTTCCCTTTTCTACTATCTTTTATAGAGACTTTTACAAGAATGATGGGCTAAAGAGTAGCATCAGGTTCAGCCCAGAAGCCCTAGGCCTTGGGAAGTCAGAGGCAGGTCGTCAGTGGGATTCAGCAGCTGATGCCCACCTTCGGACCCCAGCGAGGGGGTCAGTTCTGCTTCTTGCCTGAGATTGCTGGTGCGCTCTGTTCTCATCTGACCGAGCAGCACCGCATTGCCCTGCTGCAGCTTGCAGCACAGGAGATGTCAGAGACCACGTAATTGCCTCCCCATGTAACCTTTAGCATGTCACCCCCACTCCATTTTCTTATCTGGAAAACAGGGATAGCGCTGCTTGCTTGTATTTGCATGAAAGGGTCAATAGATTTAAGCAAGCATTACTGCTTAAAGGCAAGAAAAAGAATGAGGTTGTGTGGATGCTTTCAGGCCGTTCTGATGTTGTCTTGTGAGAAAAATCCCTGCCTGCATACAGCCCTTGAGGCAGCAGTGTAGATAAACCAGAACCCACCGGAGAGAGGCTGTGCGGCATCCTGCCTTCTGGGGGGCTACTCTCAGAGGTGTGCTCCTCTTCTCCCAGAGCACTGCCTGTGGACGGGAGCCTGGCTGGGCATCTGGAAAGGGAAACAGTGGAGGGAGGTGTGCAGCGAGGCGAGAAAGCCAAAGACAATTTCTTACTTGGAGATCCTGAAGTGAAGCCTGAGTTTAAGGGGCAGTTGACAGGAAGGAGGGCGGTGTCGCCGAAATAGCCAGCTTCGTGGGTTTCATTGTATGGGCCTGAATGGGCTTAGCTCTTTGTGAAGGGCAGATGTTGTCCTTGGAACCCTTTATTCCCTCTGTTTGTGGGAAAGCCAGGAGACAAGACATCTCATGCTCACTTTGAAGCAAAGGACTGTGATACAAACCGAGACGCAGCCTTACCTTTTGCCAGCTATAATACGGTGTTGTCCTTTTCCCTGTATTCTTTGGCTGGCCTTCCTCCAAAAGTTGGGGTCCTGTGTTTTCCTAGGAAGGGAGCAATGGTGGCAGGCCTTGAAGCTAGGAGCTGGCAGGTAGGCATGTCCCAAGCTGGCTGAAGAGACTCTTTGCTGTCAAAAACCATCTTTTTCCCAACTCCCGAGAAGCAGCCCTGACTTTATTGCTGTATTATAACTGATAGCCAGATGGTCTTTTGGGAGTTGGATTCTTCCCCCTTAAATCATTCAGGCTCAAGCACCGTCACTAATGTCATGAGTAGTTGCAAGGCACACTTCTATTGTCCCCACAAGAAATGTTATCAACAGGGGAAAAGTATGGGAAACGCAGAGAAATTCAAACCCACGCAGCCTGGTGCTAATGACCCCTTTGTCGGGCCTGCACTTCCATGAACTCGCACGGCTTTTCCACCGCGTGAGGCGGTTCACACGCAGGGGTGGCCAGCAGGAGCTCAGA